TGGCTTCGTCGAGAGAATTTATATAGGCTTTGCCTGTTATTCAATACACATTGACTGTACCATCTTTGTCAATAAAATTTGTTGGTTCAGTGATAATTTAAATAAGGAAATCTTCTTGTGAAGTGCACCAGGCGGTGCTGGTTGATTCAAGTCATTTAACTACGTATACATGATCTACAGATACTGCCGTGTACGATGCTCGAATATCTCATGCTTAGAGTCAGGGACGTATAATACAGATGTTGATGTAGACATGTGATAATACACTTACACCAGGACAGTAGTCATAAAGTCTACTCTAATTAAATCGATCATCCGACTGTACTAGCGCACATAATTGTAATAAAAGCAATCGTGTGTCTGTACCTCGGCAACAGGTAACAACAGGTAGGTCTGTGACAGCTCTAAACGACGACTGATCAAAACACCGGTACACGAAAGAGATTCTAATCCCTCTGTATTATACGTCCCTGGTAGCGCAAATCGGAATGTTACCCTCTCAAATCCAATATTTATCGACTACTTTATCCTATTTCTCGTGTTATATAAACTGACGTATACATAGATATGGATGCTTTGTTATCTATCGTTTCGTATAGAAGAAGTTCAGATATGAATACCACTCAGTGTAGAGTTGAAGAAACGGTTTAATAATAAATATAAAGTTCAGTACGACTGAGAAATCAGCTTGAGTCGCGCGGTTGTCTGCTAACTGATCAATTATCAGTGATCGCTGTATGAAGGGATCAGGTAGGGTAGTATGATGAGATCAGAATTTACGGCATGGCGTATACAAAACACATAGAGAATGAGATGCACATTGTATTATACAATTGGTTGATTATTATTTATTTTTTTATTGATTACCCTCAGTTTTATATTTCTGACACCGTCTTCACAATCATTTTTATCCGATAGTAATTTTTATGTTCTTTTTTCTTAGAACTTGTACGTCTTAATTCAAGAATTTAAAAGAAACGAAACGTAGTGTATATATTACAGAGTCGTCCAGACCTTGCGTATTTTAGTTTTAAGAATTCTACATTTTAATGACTAATATACTAAGTTAATCAACTTCTGAATGGTAAAGTAATATTATCAATAAGGTGTTTATAGATGTTGTAGATGTTGTCAGCTTTGGTCAAAGATTCACTGTCTGATAAATAGTTATATATTGGTAAAATTATTGTCATACATTAGTTTTCTTTCCCATACATATCCGAAACCAAATGATTTTTTACAAAATTAACACAATTGAAACACTTCTCGTATTTGCATATCTAAAAATGCCATATGCTCGATTCAAAATACAATTTCCTGACGTAAGTAATTTAAACCGATATCTAATTATTCCAAATTTCCTGTAATATTCAAATGGAAAACTATCTAGTTCACAATATACCATAGGATTTGAGGTAGATTTAAAAAAAATGTAACTTGTGTTAAAAAAAATGTGTATGAACCTATTCAATATCATTTGCCTTTGATGATCCCAATATCTATCATCCATAATTAAAAATGATGCCAACACACCTATCAAACGGCGAAGTATAGTTTCAATATTGAAGCTCACATTACTACATTTTGTAGTACAAATAATCCTTTTCTACCTTGTTTAGAAAGCGGGATTTGAAAATTGTTAAATTTGTTATCAAATCACAAGTTTATCTCTAGATATGTAAATTTATTAATACAAGTAATATTTCAGCCTATATAAGTACATTTCCTGTAACAATATACTGTACCCCTCCCTCCTCCCCCTTTCGGAGAACAACCGCTTTCGTATTTTCAATATTCACAGTGAGCTCCCATTTTTCAGTTTATCTTTCGAAATTATGGAACAGACCTAGTAATCCCTGAACAGTCTCTGAAATAATACCATATCGTCAGCATGAAGCATAAGGAATAAACCTAAGTCTTGAAACCCATGAGGCGAGTCACAATGTGTTATAGAAAATGTTTCAAAATCGTTGAAATACGAAGAAAGTATCGCTGACAGAATTTACAACTGGAAGAGACCGATCCTCATTATTGAGGAAATCAGAGTGGTCTAATGGACATCCCCTATATATCCTTAGTTATTGTTCCTATCCTTCTAATGGACACCTCCTATATATTCTTAGTTATTGTTTCTATCCTTCTAATGGACATCTCCTATATACACTTAGTTATTGTTCCTATCCGTCTAATGACATCCCCTATATATCCTTAGTTATTGTTCCTATCCGTCTAATTGACAACCCCTATATATCCCTAGGTATTGTTTCCATCCGTCTAATGACATCCCCTATATATCCTTAACTATTGTTCCTATCCGTCTAATGGACACCTCCTATATACACTTAGTTATTGTTTCTATCCGTGTAATGGACACCTCCTATATACACTTAGTTATTGTTTCTATCCGTCTAATGGACAACCCCTATATATACTTTATTTTTTTCTATCCGTTCTAAGGGCATCTTAACCGATATATCCAAAGTTATTGTTTTTCCTGCTGTAAAAAGTGACTTGCGTAAGTCTAGTATAAGTCTTATACATTGTATCAGGCCTTGGTATGCGATAAAATATCGTCGGTATCTACGGGCTTGTATCTAGTAGTTTGTCTATTAGATGTATAAGATTTTTGGCCACACAAGCGGTGCTATTCAATATCGAGTACAGTGTCTGTACAAGTGAAACTTAACAGATCAGTTGGTCTAACTTTGTGGGGAAAAGTCCGGTTCCTAGCTACGAGTGAAATTAACAAACAGTGAGGAGTATATAAATAATGTATACACGAAATTATAAACAATGGGAATCAAACGAAATTAATTCCAATGGATGTAAAGAGACGTCTTTCGCCAACAAAAGAGAAGGTTTGCATTTTACATCTAACATGAATTGGCCGTGAATTACCCAAGTAAGTATATACATTCAGTTGGTTTTTGTTTTTTTTTTGTTTTTGTTTTTTTTTTAATATATATATGGGTTTTTGTTAAGTATATACACTCAGTTGGATTTTGTTTGTTTTCATATTTTTTGAGTTGTTGATTTGGTTTTGTTACTTTTTAGCTGCGAGATGTAGGTCAGTATAACCTGACACAGTGTGTTGTAGATAAGGGTCAGTACAACCTGACACAGTATATTGTATATATAGGTCAGTATAACCTGACACAATATTTTTATATATAGGTCAGTATAACCTAACACAGTGTTAAGTAGATATAGGTCAGTACAACCTGACACAGTGTTAAGTAGATATAGGTCAGTATAACCGGTCACAGTGTGTTGTAGATGTAGGTCAGTATAACCTGACACAGTGTGTTGTAGATATGGGTCAGTACAACCTGACACAGTGTGTTGTATATATAGGTCTGTTTATCCTGACACAGTATATTGTAGATCTAGGTCAGTATAACCTGACACAGTGTGTAGTAGATAAGTGTCAGTATAACCTGACACAGTATGATGTATATATAGGTCAGTATAACCTGACACAGTATATTGTATATATAGGTCAGTATAACCTGATATAATGTTAAGTAGATATGGATCAGTAGAAACTGACACCGGGTGTTGTAGATAAGGGTCAGTATAACCTGGCACAGTATATTGTATATATAGGTCAATATAACCTGACACAATATTTTTATATATAGGTCAGTATAACCTGACACAGTGTGTTGTAGATAAGGGTCAGTACAACCTGACACAGTATGATGTATATATAGGTCAGTATAACCTGACACGGTATATTGTATATATAGGTCAGTATAACCTGACACAGTATATTGTATATATGGGCCAGTATAACCTGACACAGTGTGTTGTAGTTATATGTCAGTACAACCTGACACAGTGTTAAGTAGATGTAGGTCAGTATAACCTGACACAGTGTGTTGTAGATATGGGTCAGTACAACCGAACACAGTGTGTTGTAGATATGGATCAGTACAAAGTGTCACTGTGTATTGTAGATGTAGATCAGTATAGATTGCCACAGAGTATTGTAGATGTGAATCAGTACAAAGTGTCACAATGTGTTGCATATATGGGTCAGTACGGAGTGTCGCAGTGTATTGTAGATGTGGATCAGTAAGAAGTGCCACAGTTATTGTAGATTGGGACCAGTACAGAGTGTTACAGTGTATTGTAGATGTGGATCAGTACGGAGTGCCGTAGTGTATTAAAGATGTGAATCAGTACAGTGTCACAATGTATTGTAGATATGAGTCTGTACAAAGTGCCACAGTGTATTGTAGATGTAGATCAGTACAGATTGCCAAAGAGTATTATAGATGTGGATCAGTACAAAGTGTCACAGTGTATTGTAGATGTGGACCAGTACAAAGTGTCACATTTATTGTAGATGTGGATAACTACAGAGTGCAAGAGTATATTGTAGATGTCAATGAGTACAGAGTGTCACAGTGTGTTGTAGATATGGGTCAGTACAACCTGACACAGTGTGTTGTAAATAAGGGTCAGTACAACCGAACACAGTGTGTTGTAGATAAGGGTCAGTACAACCTGACACAGTGTGTTGTAGATAAGGGTCAGTATAACCTGACACAGTATGATGTATATATAGGTCAGTATAACCTGACACAGTATATTGTAAATATAGGTCAGTATAACCTGATATAATGTTAAGTAGATATGGATCAGTAGAAACTGACACCGGGTGTTGTAGATAAGGGTCAGTATAACCTGGCACAGTATATTGTATATATAGGTCAATATAACCTGACACAATATCTTTATATATAGGTCAGTATAACCTGACACAGTGTGTTGTAGATAAGGGTCAGTACAACCTGACACAGTATGATGTATATATAGGTCAGTATAACCTGACACGGTATATTGTATATATAGGTCAGTATAACCTGACACAGTATATTGTATATATGGGCCAGTATAACCTGACACAGTGTGTTGTAGTTATATGTCAGTACAACCTGACACAGTGTTAAGTAGATGTAGGTCAGTATAACCTGACACAGTGTGTTGTAGATATGGGTCAGTACAACCGAACACAGTGTGTTGTAGATATGGATCAGTACAAAGTGTCACTGTGTATTGTAGATGTAGATCAGTATAGATTGCCACAGAGTATTGTAGATGTGAATCAGTACAAAGTGTCACAATGTGTTGCATATATGGGTCAGTACGGAGTGCCGCAGTGTATTGTAGATGTGGATCAGTAAGAAGTGCCACAGTTATTGTAGATTGGGACCAGTACAGAGTGTCACAGTGTATTGTAGATGTGGATCAGTACGGAGTGCCGTAGTGTATTAAAGATGTGAATCAGTACAGTGTCACAATGTATTGTAGATATGAGTCTGTACAAAGTGCCACAGTGTATTGTAGATGTAGATCAGTACAGATTGCCAAAGAGTATTATAGATGTGGATCAGTACAAAGTGTCACAGTGTATTGTAGATGTGGACCAGTACAAAGTGTCACATTTATTGTAGATGTGGATAACTACAGAGTGCCAGAGTATATTGTAGATGTCAATGAGTACAGAGTGTCACAGTGTGTTGTAGATATGGGTCAGTACAACCTGACACAGTGTGTTGTAAATAAGGGTCAGTACAACCGAACACAGTGTGTTGTAGATAAGGGTCAGTACAACCTGACACAGTGTGTTGTAGATAAGGGTCAGTATAACCTGACACAGTATGATGTATATATATATCAGTATAACCTGACACAGTATATTGTATATATAGGTCAGTATAACCTGATATAATGTTAAGTAGATATGGATCAGTAGAAACTGACACCGGGTGTTGTAGATAAGGGTCAGTATAACCTGGCACAGTATATTGTATATATAGGTCAATATAACCTGACACAATATTTTTATATATAGGTCAGTATAACCTGACACAGTGTGTTGTAGATAAGGGTCAGTACAACCTGACACAGTATGATGTATATATAGGTCAGTATAACCTGACACGGTATATTGTATATATAGGTCAGTATAACCTGACACAGTATATTGTATATATGGGCCAGTATAACCTGACACAGTGTGTTGTATATATGGGCCAGTATAACCTGACACAGTGTGTTGTAGTTATATGTCAGTACAACCTGACACAGTGTTAAGTAGATGTAGGTCAGTATAACCTGACACAGTGTGTTGTAGATATGGGTCAGTACAATCTGAACACAGTGTGTTGTAGATATGGATCAGTACAAAGTGTCACTGTGTATTGTAGATGTAGATCAGTATAGATTGCCACAGAGTATTGTAGATGTGAATCAGTACAAAGTGTCACAATGTGTTGCATATATGGGTCAGTACGGAGTGCCGCAGTGTATTGTAGATGTGGATCAGTAAGAAGTGCCACAGTTATTGTAGATTGGGACCAGTACAGAGTGTCACAGTGTATTGTAGATGTGGATCAGTACGGAGTGCCGTAGTGTATTAAAGATGTGAATCAGTACAGTGTCACAATGTATTGTAGATATGAGTCTGTACAAAGTGCCACAGTGTATTGTAGATGTAGATCAGTACAGATTGCCAAAGAGTATTATAGATGTGGATCAGTACAAAGTGTCACAGTGTATTGTAGATGTGGACCAGTACAAAGTGTCACATTTATTGTAGATGTGGATAACTACAGAGTGCCAGAGTATATTGTAGATGTCAATGAGTACAGAGTGTCACAGTGTATCGTAGATATGGGTCGGGTCAGTATTACCTGACACAGTATGTCGTAAATATAGGCCAGTACAACCTGACACTATGTGTTGTAGATATGGGTCAGTACAACCTGACACAGTGTTTTGTAAATATGGATCAGTACAGAGTACCACATTTATTGTAGATGTGGATCAGTACGGAGTGCCACAGTGTATTGTAGACGTGTATCAGTACAGAGTGCCACATTTATTTTAGATGTGGATCAGTTAGGAGTGCCACATTTATTGTATTTTTTCGTTTTCATTCATCATTTGTGTTTTGCCATCGCGAAGAATATAGATATTTTGCTATTTTGAAATTTATATGACATTGAACAGAAAACCCTTTAAAATTCTTTTAATGTATTATGTCAGATCTTGAGATACGTTCTGAGTTTCAATTTGACGTTTGTGTTAACATTTTGTAAATTAGATGTATCTTAAATTGCAGGTCTGATATGGATATTGGCTATTCGTAGTACTGTGTGTGTCCTTAGCAGTCATAAGCCTTCTGCTTGGACACTCTTTCAAGCACCTCATATATAACAACGACATCATTCCAATTCAGGAGCAATCTTATGGTACCACAAGAAAAAATGAAAAACTTTATCTTAAAGGACATATTGGACAATCCTTTCTAACAACAGCTGCTGATCTAAAACAAACATACATCGTATACGACTGTAGCAAGGCCAACAGCGGTGTTTGTGGTGGTTGGTCTGACCGACTTTCAGGAATTCTTTCTACCCTGATCATGGCTCTTCTTACCAATCGACGTTTTCTGATCAACCATGATAAACCATGCCCTCTAGAAGATTATCTAATCCCCGCTCATTTCGATTGGCGTTTTAACCGATCAATTCTTCTCAACAGAACGAAATCTTATCAAGATCTTAGCGCACGTAAATCTGAAAAACTAAGGAAATATTTGAACGGAAGTCTTGACATCAACAATTACTTTCACGATGATGTTAGCTTTCTTCGTGTAAACTGGGATTTTACAGTTGAATTTAGAAAAAGACCAAATATAGGAAATGAAGTTGCTTGGGTTACAAAATTACATTATGCCGATATGTATAAGGAGCTGTTTCATTTCTTCTTCAAACCATCACCTCTTCTTGGCAATGCATTAAACGAGCTACAGAAAAAATATCGGAAAAGACCAAAGATAGCTTGTGCTCATATACGTGTAGGAGGAAATAAAAACATGCCGTACGACGACCGACGATCTAAAATTCCAACCGATGTTGTATGGAAATATTTTGATAAATTGAACAAATCGGAATATGACTTCTTCATTGCATCAGACGCAAATGAAATGAAGAATGTAGCGAAGAACCGTTATCCTAAGAACATAATTGACACTCCAGGAAAAATTACACATATTGATCAAAAGGGTAGAAATGATCCACGCGAGGGATTTCTGAAACAGTTCTTAGATTTCTTCACATTAGTGAAGTGCGATGCTCTTATTCTTACGAATAGCGGATTCGGTACATTTGCAGCGTACCTGCGGGAAACAGATTCTGATTTGTATTGTTTAAAAGGAGAACATTTAAGGCCTTGTTCTAGATACACGGTCGAAAAAGCCTTTCCGGGAGTATTTTTAGCACCTTTTCGATAGATGTTTGTCGCAGTATGTCGTCGAAATATACCATGGCTTAAAACAATTCACATTCTGTTTTTACGATCAAAACATAATTTAGATATTAACCGTATGTCGGATGATGATTTTACAAAACTGCTTGGATGTCAAATAACAATCAGTTTAAATTTATGTGAATAATACCTAGGTGTAATGAAAACCGTTACCATATCTTTAAAACAATGATGAAAATCAAGGCAATAGGGAAGAACTTTGTGGAAAGTGCAAAGGAAATAAGAACAGACCTTCAATAAAATCATGCGTTGTTGACAGCCGCCATACAAATTAAGCTTGGTGGATGCAATACCCAGTTCTCAAAATTAGAACCGTCTTAAGAAATCAATTGGCGGTTAGAACAGTGGCTATGGAAGCAGATATGTAACTACGTATAAAAAGGAATGTGAAGAGTGTATATAAAAAAACCAACAGCTTAGTGGGAAGTTGGTCATTTATTGTCTAAGTGATGTAAAGATCGAGCTTCGCAGGTGATTCACACAACTGCAGTTCTTTTTATTCCGGAAGACCTTAATTGAATCGTACAAGATACCAAGCTTTATTGTGATAAATAATAATGTGTCCAATCTATCACAGCTGACTCGCTTTGTCGTCCGAAAATTTGGAATTTTTCACTGACAACTTGAATGTATTTAATGGATATTTGTTATACCTATAAGTGCCATTTTAATATGCAATCATATGTGAAACGTACATATTGTGTTATATGCGAACGTCATAGGCAAACTATGGAATGTAAGGCTGTACAACCCTCAGTAAATTTTATGGCGCTAGGTATGAAAACTGAAGTCGTATGTAGCTGTACGATTCTAAGTAAATCATGAAATAATAAGTATGATAACAATGCATTTTTTCTATAATCATATGCAGTCCTGGATCGACTTAACAGCCGTAAAAATTCTTTACATTATTATTTTGACTGCTGTTCCAAGAACAATTTGCAGTTACATGTAAACTGCTCTTGGTTGAATGTGTAGATATGTGTTCACCATGAAGCATGAACATCCTGTATCTTAACCGTATATATCTGTATAAAATGTTACATATGCAGTCATATGTAAACTAAGCATTTCAATGTTAAAGAAGAAGATGCTTATCTTACCGGAGTACCTCGTCTTGTTATGTGCGTACTTGGATAGATTGAAGTGTACACGGCTGATGTTATCGAATGAAATGCTTACGTACCTTTCTGAAATACTTCTCGTGTTCTTTTTCAAAGATCGCCATGCAAATCTTTCAATCGACTTCAAATTTGGATTAAGCTTTATTTGAACGTATTTTCCCATTGCTCTTGAATAAACGCGACAAACAACATAAACAACGCCATCAAAAAATCTATTTATTGATAAAGATAAAAATCATAAAAAGACATGCAAGTGTCTGGTCCTCTGTATAAAAATAGAGTTAGATGCATTACGATGTAAATGGACAGATTGATAAATATCCTTTGACTATCATGTTAATATCTAAACTTTCCCAATCGGTCGAAACCGATATAAAATATCGATAGGGTGATGACATCGTCTTAGCAAGTGAATGTACGTACGTTATTGTGTTACTTATATATGCATTATATTGTTAGCATTGCATATCTATATCACCATTTAAAATTATAATGATATTAAACTCTTGAGACGCTTTGGTTGATATTATCATCAATGTCGTTATAGAAACAAACGTCACCGGAAATGACTTCATTATTTCACAATTACACAATGTTTTAAAGTTGCTTTCAGAGCCCAAACGACATTTGATTATTGTCAATAATTGTCGAAACGTCTCCAAGAACTTAATAACATTATTTAGATTTTTTTTGTATATTTGTTTTCTTCATCTCCAATGGAAAATATTTACTAGTAGTTTACTGTAGTTTCAAAATCAGGATTTTTTTATGTTATATTATAAAAAAAATCTTGTTATATGAAAATATATTGTTATATAAAATGTTATATTATATTCCCCGAGAAATACCTTTTAAACATAAAACGCGGAGTTTTATAAAAATAGCCTTCTATTAAATCGTTCTGAACAACATGTGAAATGTTTCAATATATCAAATCCAGATGATATACCAGCCATGTTACAATAGATAGTGTTCATAATTGTACACGATGAAGCTTCCCTGTTTTAGTCTCTAAAACACATCGAATCAATTGTTTTGTGAACACACCTTTGATTAATAATGGTGAACGGCTGAGAGCTGCTTGATTCGATCAAAGCGAAACTGTGATTGGTTGAAGGTTTGAGAACAAAAATAATACGAGGTTTAGCTGCAGCTTTATAATGATCGTTCCTATTTCCTATTGATTTATCACAAACAATTTCCAATCAACAATTATGATATTCAAAAGCAAAAACAAGGTAATGTACGGGTTTCTATCTATGCACAAGTTCTATCTTATTCAACAAAACTAAAGTTGAGCGTGAACAAAGGAACGATTCACAGGTTGACTCTCGAAAAGTAAGAGATGATTATGATCAAATGTTTCAGAAGTTATAAGTGTAATCAGCTTCACCGAAGCTGTTATAGATCAACGTTATCTTTCAAATGAGAGCCAGTTATAACAATGAGATCTCCGGCTATACTTTGTTAACATATCACTGGTTATATCGTTGATGTTTACATCACAAGCCAAACAGTTGTATTCTAACTTTCTTAGAACACATTTAAACTTTTTCATTTGTCTACTTGTTAAACGGTCTTTTTCTCATGCTTGCAATCGTTTTATCGTTTTGTAGATAACGTTTTTTAATTATAACATTGGTGTGCGTTTCGTTCAGGATTCAATTAATATCCTTTCAAGAAATGTTACATTGATATTCAAGAACATTTTTTAAATTGGAAGTACATAATTATCATGACCCTCGAGCGAAATAAAAATATTTTACTCTTATTTCAGTCTCAGTTTTTCTATTTTGTTAGCCCTATAGAATTCTTGTATATGGAATCAACATTTAAGCGCGGGAAAGTCAAGCCATTTCACTGAGATAATAGTTTGCAAGGACGGAAACAATATGAAATGTTAGCATACATCAGACATGATTTTTTATTTTATTTTGATTTTTTTTATTATTTTTTTCAAACTCCATAAACAATTTTAAAAACTCACCTCAAAATCGAAAACGAAAACGGCCTCGGATATTTGATAGTGTACAGTTGAGGCTTGCGGTGTTTGATCTGGTCACAATTACATCAAAACATTCACGACGTGCTTAGAATGTAATAAAGCATTTGATGAAAACTGGAAGTAGGACTAACACAATGGTTGAAGGAAGGAGTTACTAAGAAAAACATCGACTCGATGTCAATATTTACATATTTGAACATAGTAACACAACTGACGATGATATTTAACGCGTACCCTATCCAGGCCTCGAACTCACCATATCGCCTGAATGTATTGACCCTTTGATAAAATTTGATAAAAATCCTCATTTGTGATAGGTATTTTACTCCAGACGATACTTATCTTAAATAAAAAATACTACTGAGTTTAGAATTAATAGATTAACCCAACCCAACCCCAAACTCAACCCTCAAAAAAATGAATCTTGTAAAATCTTTAAATTATTTAGCAATTAACGGGTTCTATCACGCATTTATCAAAAATGTTTGATGAATCAAAAATACAAAAGCGTACACTTTCTAAGAATTAAACCAAATTTCAAAAGTAATCCGCTTACACAAAATGTACCTTAAAACGAGCAAAAACACTCAAAACGGTTAACATCAAGGATTAGACATTAATAATAATAAGATATACTAAACAGTTAGTAAAGGGGTTAAAATATCTACTTCTACTGAAGTTTTCACAATGTTATTGAACTGATCATTATGATACAAGTAAGTACTAATACATGTAACACTAAGGTGTAAAGATGAAAGTTAAAGACTACATTGTCTTACCAAGATATTGCATCGTTTTTTTTAGATTCAGGAAGGAACTTAAAGTGATTCATTTGACATACAAACAAGTGTTTGTGATTTTCTCTTTATCAATCCTCTGAATGGCATTTCAGAACATTCAAGAATAATTCATGGGTGGGGGTTTTCACCAATGGAATTGATTCTTCTTCTATTGAGAATTACTTTTATTTTGGCTACCTTTAGAGCAGATATGTCTCCTGACTTTGACATGTGTATCTAAGTTTGGAACTCATCTCTCAGCTGGCTAAACTGTGACGAGATTGCCTTTCAATAGACATTCAACAATCAAATGGCTCAGTTCCTTTTCCTTAATTCTTTTTTCTGTTTTTGAGTTTATCATTTTATAGACTTGTTCATAGCAAATTGCAATTTGGACGCAGGCTTTTAACTTAAAATGATATAAAAATATTATAAAATAGGAGTCATGTTCAGATGTTCGTTTTGAGTTTTCTTTTACTGGTAAAGGTTAAATGGCATAAAAACATTTCATTGTATATCAGAACTTGGAACCTTCTTTAAAACTTGATTCCATGGCATATATATATATACATATATATATAAAGGTATCTCTTAAATATAAACGTATGTAAATTATTCCAGTGCAGTATATATTTCGGAGTATGATCTGCGATAGGAACATTTATAACATTTTCGACATTTCGAGTCGTACATAGAAACTAGGTGCTTTTTACACTAAATATGTGTTGGATAATAACTTAGGTGTTGTTCTTTTTAAATAATCAGTGTGAATTCCAGCATAATTCATTCGCAAGGGTCGATGGACACTTTTCTGCAAAGGTATCTATTTGGGTTCGGTATCGATTTAAGTAGCGTTCGGTAATGTTCTTACCTTCTCAACCGCCCTAAAGACACGAAGAAAATTAAGACCAGCCAACTTCTTTAGATCTTCCTCCGACCAATTTCGTCTTTTAAGCTCGGCAAATATCACGGGGTAGGTTGAAGAATCTTCAAGCTCCAAGGGCATACTAAAATGAAAAACACATATGTAACGGCGTTTTTCACTATCAGAGCACTC